ACCTTCCCTCTGTGAAACTCGAAGTCAGCTTAATGGATAATGATAGCTTTCAAAACGCCTGCCATTTGAAATAAATCAATAAATATTTCCATGTGCGAATTCTGTGTGTGATTCCATAATGTTCCTTCCACATTCTCTGTGATATGAAGTCTTCTATGGGCACACGAACGATCTTTTGAATGAAAGTCAGCCAAAACGTATAAAATTGTGTGTGGTTTTCCACTACATAATCCATTCTTAAGAATGGATCTTAGTTTGTACACCCGAGTGTATATTTTGGATTTGAAGCCAACAGGCGATTAGTACAAAGACGATTCAATGAGATCAACACACTAAAGGTACCAAGTTCTAACACAATGAGCGAGTTCTCTCACATCAGAGTACTAACATATACTTGGGATTAGAGCTCTCCAAAGACGATGAGTGTGGTATGAACTATGCAATTAAGTTCGATTGATAAGTTCACGTCATACTATCAAAATATTTAGCACTACAACGTCAATCAGCATAAATCTAACGCACACACAATTGATGTATTACGAAACCATCAAATTTTTCCAAAATAAAATGTTGCTTCACAAAGCAGCCTGGCACTAACACTCAATCAACTTGAAAAGCTTTTTGATCGGAAGTCCCCACTCCAAACTGAGACTTCCATTATTAACCTCTCAAACTGATTGGAACTTATGAGTGAGCAAGTTAACTCAATTCGAGTATTAATTAGCAGGAGGTGTATACTCTAATTGACTTCGCAAATCACTCTCGGAACAATGACCTATCATTGTCAAATGCACTGACAATTAAGCAAAACGTTTTTATTCACAGAAAGACCACCATCTATTTTAAGAGTGGAGCAGAATACGGTTTTATTCAGATTGCCTAAGCTTTCAATTCCGCCACAATGTTTTAAATATATCTGTTGAAAAGGCTGCATATGACAGTTTGCATGGTTGGAAAATAGAAACAAGAATTTCTAGTTTGTTAACTCTATTAAAAAGGCCCCATTTGCGTCAAAACCTATCCAAAAACAAGATGTGCACTATCGATCACACCAAAATCATAATTTTGAAAAACTCTTACATTAACCTCAAAACCAATTTTTTACTACATATGTAATTGACAGTTGAATACAACAGGGGATGTTTTGGAATTTACTGAAATAAAAAGTAACATTCCCTTTATAAATAAAGTCTTTTTTAAAAAATTGGCTTTTGAATAAACGCCAAGGTTCACTGATTTTTGGTCGAAATGGTAAATAATAAAGTGAGGTTTCAATTTTTAACCAATCGCACATAAAGATGAAAAAATTCACCATGACCCAGACGTGGAGTTAACTCTGATTTGAAAAGTGCGCTATATTTTCCGAAACGATCACGCTTGATACCCCGAGTGACATGCCAATTGAATTAGTATTATTATTATCACTGAGGTTTGAAGCGATTCAAAGGTGCATCACATCTTCCCCAAGACATCTTTTTTAAGTCTTCGTTTTTAACGAATCTGTCTTGATTATATCTAACCTATTTAGTAGAAATTCTTCTGAGCCTCGTGAGTGCTCTAATTCTCTCTTCACTACCACAAAATGTGCGATGAAAACCAGATCAATAAGGCCATTTCAAAAGTTTATTCTAGATGATAATAAAAAGAATATTTTTAGTAGTTCAAGTGAACTTGGTTAAACTGATGTCTATTATTCAATCCATAAAAGGATCTAAGTAAGTGACGGGAATATATTAAAGGCTATAGCTAATTAAAGCATGAATCTTGGTACTAAGTGTGATAGCAGCATGAGTGGGGGGTGGGGGGTGGGGAAGGGCGAATACGATTTTCCTATGGAACTATGCTCTTGGATGAATAATGACTTGGAAGTCATTCAGATTTTTCCATTTTTGCTGTTAATGCAATTTGTGGGGCAAATGAGGCCATAAAGGAGCGATATTCCGCACAAAAATAGAACTTAGACCAAAAGCGGTCGGTTGATTGACATAAACAATAGCCAGGTTGATAGATGTTAGGAAACTGAGCGAAGATCAGTTGATGAATTCTCATGCACGTGGTACTCAAAATAGGAAGCAGAATCATGGAGTAATCTCTGTAATAGTCAGTGAATCGAAAGCGACTGAGCCTTCCAGTGAAATCTACAGCGCATGCAGTACTCCATCGCCAGTACACTAACCATAATGAAGAAGGAAAAGAGGATAGGTCCTGCAAAAAATAGAGGCACATACAATGCAGAGAATTTACATACCGCTTTGGTGAACTTCTGCAATACTAGTCATCTTAAACTAGGCGAAAAATTCCCGATGGATATACAGTGGGGGTGGGGGGAAGGGGGGGGGGTAAATACTATCCCCAATGTGGGATACGTCACCTTGAGGAAATAGGGAATCAACAGAAAGACTTCGAACTAACTGGAAAGAGCACTGCTAGTAGGTGGGACTTAAAATGGGAGGCGATTTGATAGTTTTCATTAGCCCTTTAGCTGACTTCAGGCTTCACAGGAAGGGGAGACAGATGAGTGATTCACAGATTTAAAAGAGACAGACTTACACAAAGGTAGGGAAAAGGTGAGGTGAGTACTGTTAAGTGGTGTAATATGGCAACAGTGGGGTCATGATGGTTTGAAATCAAAAGTCAACTGCCAGTTTATAGACTTTTTCGCCGTATAAGTATACGTTGTCCAGGATGTACTATGTGGAGGTAAGTCTATCGCACATCCCGTATCCCATAATTAATCATGAAATCATAAAATTTTTAAATACTTGTTCTAGACACAATTATTCCAAACATTGCGTATGTAAACTAGTGTGAATTACTTTATAGAACACAAAGGTCGCATTATAATGTCGTGAACTTGTGATTTTCCTGCTTTCAGCTGGAACTTTGGCTTGCGGACCACAAAAAATTGCATTATTTCATCATTAATGCCTATTGTGCAATAGGTAACGAAAAGGTGATGAAATATGATCTCAGATTTCTTAAATTCGGATGGTAGCCTTTTCATGCAAGATGAATGACTAAGTTAGACCTTAGTCACGTGCTTTTTGGAAAAGTCAATGACCTTTCGCTTTTATGGCTCGTTTGCCAGCTGCCATTTATATCGCCTCTATCGATTCACCTCTTCTTCTTCATTATTGATTTCCTTCATTTTAAGGTACCTCTACAGTCCCACCTTACACGAAAGTCCCCAAAAGAAGCATAAGCGTTTCAGCTTCATTCCGAAATCACCTCCTCCCTCCCCTTCCCCCCCCCCCCAATCTGTTTCTCCTTCGAATTCTCATCGTGTTTGATTCAAAACACCTTGACTTACCCAACTTGTTGTGGACAACTTTTTAGGTATATTTTTTTTACAGTTTTGAGGTGCGAGTTTTTGTTCCTACAATTTAGTAACTCCTATTTTGACGAATGCGTATCGGACACGATTGCCTGTCGAAACGCCTTCACAGAAGAGGAGTATGCGTTCAACCAACATGCCCCCCCCCTTTGTGACCTACAGGTGGAGATGGAGAAGACCCACTTGATTCGATTTGCGAGGCCTAATGACAACGGCAGAAACTCAGAGATACTGAGAAGCCAGAAGACAACCAATGAGCTACTGTTATCTATCCTTAAGCGTATATATATATATATATGTTCCTTCCCTCCCTTGAGAGGGTCGTAGGCAACTAAGGGGCTGATGATAATCATCATAAAGCCTGCCATTTCATATAACAATAATAATATTGGTGGCTTCAAATCCTGGCACACTAGTTAGACAGAAAAATGCCACTTGTATCTGCAACATCGCTAAATTTTGAGAGCTCAGCAAACTCTTTCACCCTTCCAATGCCTTGATTTTTATGCACCTAATGTTGGAATACCAGTGGCTTAAATATATTATTTGTTCCGTAGGCTTCAGATATTGAAAGAAGCTAATTTCCACCACCTTAGGCTCACCTTAGCCTAGAGGTGCCGATTTGATTTTGCGAATCCGATCTATTGTTTTCTTAAGCAGATTAAAAGTGACTGATTTAACTTCCACAATATGTCAAACGGCATTGATTCATTTAAGTATATAAATTTGAAAGTAGTGTCACATGTTTTGCTCAATATCAGTTGACATCTATGCTTTGTTTCATTCGCGATTTCAACTCATATTCACAAGTTTATCCACTAACAACAAATTTCTGTTATTCCATTGACTCTTTTCAATGCCTACGAACTCAAATTTAGCTGTGTAGATGGGAATTGTCTAAATCTGCGTTTGTCACACCAACGAATGTCACTTATTTCTTCCTTTCTTGTTCAAGCCATAGTCATGTTGAAGTGTGTTCCTCAAATGTAAACTTTTAATTCGGTTTCACCTCAAATTTGAAACGAAGTTATAAGTGTGAGCACGAGAATCCCTCTATCGACTACCTACATCAGTTAATCCACCTCATTCCCCATAGAGAACCGACTCCAAACAGGTGGTCAAGTCGATTCCACGTATTCCCTACCGACTTTCAGTGCTACTGTAGTATCCTCAGTCCCTCGACAGTGTGGTGTTGAAGCTACGACTAAGTTGATTCCATCATACAGTGCCACTTTTATTCCAAGTTGGTTTGTTATTTGGCCATCATTCCCTCCCACGTGGCGTGGTTGTTGGGCTACCCCAAATAAAGTTGCCTTCACGTCACCTCCCCACCACCCAAATCAGGAATTGATCAAACTTTCATCGGCGAGTTTGGAGATACTTCACTAAAATGAGAATTTGCGATGAGTATCGAAACAGCAAGGCAATGTTGAAAACCATTTCAGATAAAACGAACATAAAGTACTCCAATGTGAACGGAACAATAAACAAGAAATAAAATCTCAGTTGGACCCACCCCCCACCCATAAAAAGTAGGCCAACATCTTTTAGCAAATGTTAAATAATTTATAAATAAAAAGCTTGGGTTATAACATTCAGATACAAATATTACATGGCATGCATGGGTATACACAGAGGTGAATTAAAAGGAGTCTTGGTTCTTGGTTCAGGAGTTAAAATCGATTCTGGTGACCGTCTTCGCCGATTCCGAGCCTGGCGCGGAATTAGAGACAGTTGTGAAGGTCGTTCCTCCCGCGGTCGCTATAGTCACACCCGACGCACGCTTCAAACTCGAGGTCACGGAGGCCCGTCGTTCTGCCGCCCCAATAACTGAGTTGAGTTCAAGAAGGTCCTTGCCGGTGTTGCCCTTGCCCAGTGTGAAGGTCACACGTTTTGGCGAGAGAGTTTGGCCTGCCACATTGAGACCGGTTTGAGGAGTACCAGGGGGTCCGCTTTGGTGTCCCAAGTGCCCTCCATGAGGATGCCCTGTCTGTTGTTGACTTGTTGGTCCAATGAAAACGTTACGAGTCGACGCAAGATGTCTGAAATGCAGTAACTTCTTAAACCAACTACTCCACTTACAGAATTATCAGTGAAAAGAAAGTAGGTAGTACAGAGGCCTGATGAAGTTAGAATAATGACTGTGCAAGCATCGACAGAATGCGAAATATGTCTCGAAAACCCACACGACACTTTACTACTTCCCTTAAATGGACTTGGGAAGTTGTTGTTAGAGCACAGTAAAGAGGATTCAACTTCCATTAACTCAAAATCTTTCCTCTTACCGACCAAACACTTCAAGACCGAGATGAAAGCAATGCATACACATAATTCTTCAACCACTTGCATTTAGGGATGTATGCCTTCTCGCGTTATTGAATAAATCGAATCTTCATTGTGAAATACATGGTTGTGGCATGAAAGAACGCTACCAACTAGTATTTCAAATCTATTGTTCCGGAAACAACCCCTTGCAATAACAATTGGTATCCAAAACGAACTTCAAAACGACTGATAGTCGACTAACAGAACTTGAATTCAAGATGATTCCTAACTACTTTTGGGAACCAAAATCCTTAAAGATCAATCACATCAAATGCTAAAACACAAAAGAAGTTAGCAAGTCAGACCAAAAGGATCTGATGATTCTACTCAAAGTACATGTACTAGGTGCATTCTTACCTAGCTGGTAGAAAGCTGGAGCTCTGTGCTACTCCACCGAAATGACCTCCAGAATGATGTAATCCGTGGAGTCCAGAATGCGACGGACCAACACCCGATGCCACCGCACTATTTCCCGAATTCGAACTCGAAATGGGAGGAATTGGAATTGGTGTCAAAGGTGCAGATGTTGCATGCTGATGAACCTTGGTATCTGTCATTGACGCACCCAGAAATCGCGTCAAATAAGACTCCACTCGACCAAGGAAAATGTAATTATAGAACCTCGCCAAATCCGCCCTCTCCTCTTCAATTATCGGCACATTATCGCCATCAGTCGTATTAATTCGTGAGATTAGAACATGCCGATAGGTGTCCCGACAAGCCTGTGGTTGCAATCTGTAGGCCTGGACAATTTCCACCAGACTCAAATTTACAGTGCCACATGCCTTAGCCACACCATAGAGACAACAGAGCAGAATTTGGTCAAGTAGACGGTCTTTCAGCA